CAAAACTCGAGACCATAAAAGCGGGCAAACAATACTGAAGAAAACTTTTACGAGCCTTGGGGAGATCCTTCGAGTTCCTGAAAGCATTTCATTTCGCTAGCATATAGAGATAGAGAGAGAGATGGGAAGGAGCGAATATCCTTTGGAATGGCACTTCAATTCCGTTCCAACTCGCTTTTGTTTCCGTGGTCAAAATGGCAATAAATGCATAAGTTTCCGTTTTACGATATTTTGTTTCCATTGGCAGCCGTGCATTCTCATTCTCCTAGACACTTTGCCTCAACGAAACAAAATAAAACTCTAACTCTCAAATGTTTTCCCATATCCCAGTTCTAATTATATTCCCCAGCTAATTTTGTACATATTTAAGGTGTCCTCGCACACACGCTGTAAAGTGTTAGATGTTTTGGCACCTCAAAGGTATTACGAGACCAAACTGATACATAATAAAAATACTTACAACATATGTACATCAAAGTGACATAAGAAAATTGTTTAAGCACCACAAGTAAGGGCGATGACGTTTCTGTTTAAATTTAAAAAAAAACGTATATGTTTCAAAAATATAATGGTTCATTTTTACATTTTCGTATAATTTGTATTCCTATAAAAGTGACAAGTGTTTACAAAGGTATGTCATATCAAGATCTAATTTATCTGCAGCTATTTTTATACCCTTGCAGGGTATTATAATTTCAGTCAGAAGTTTGCAACGCAGTGAAGGAGACGTTTCCGACCCTATAAACCATATATATTCTTGATCAGCATCAACAGGGGAATCTTTCTAGATATGTCAGGAAGAAATCGATTTTTTGGCCATTTTTGCGAAATTTGATAAGGGGTTACATCATTAAAATTAGCAAAAATGGCCAAAAATTTTGATTTCTTAAAATTTTAAATTTGGTATGCAGTTTTTTTAAATTAATAAAAACTAACACAAAACTGCTTTCCGAATCGAAATTAATGCATTTTTGGCTTAGTTATGATATATTTTAATTGTTACCTGCAAGGGTATACAAACTTTGGCTGGCCAAAGTTACCTTTCTTTCTTGTTTATTGTATTTTATTAAAGTTCAGTCAGAAGGTCATAACGCAATAAAGAAGTAATTTCCGACCATTATAAATCATATATATTATTGATCAGCATCAGTTGACAAGTCCATCTAACTTAGCAGTTAAGAAAAATAATTTTTTTAATTTTTAAAATTTTATAAGGGGTTACATCTTTAAAAATCTCGAAAATTAACAAAAATTATGATTTATTCAAATTCTAAATTCAGTATGTATGTAGATTTAGTAGCCTATTTAAAACTAACACAGAAACGTTTTCCGATTTAAATTTGATTATCATTTTGCTTAGTTATGAAATTTTAAAACTTTGATTATCGAGTGAATTTTTTTTTAAATATATTAAATACTTTATTTAATATTTTAAAAATATTTTGAAGCATTTTTTTACATTAAAAATTACTGATTAGCTAAGTAAATTGATTATTTATCAAAGGAAAGTGAATATATAATTTAATTTTTTATTTAAATATATTAAAAACTTTATTTAATAATGCATAAATTTATTCTTGATCTGCATAAACAGACATATCATTCTAGTCATATCCGACTATATTTTTGACAGTTTTCTCAAAATTTGATAAGGGATTAGCTGCATCGTTAAAATGTTAAAAAGTTCAGTGTGTACATTTAATGTCCTAATAAAAACTAGCACAAAAAAGCTAACCGAACTGAAATTAAGGCCTTTAATACTAAGTTATGATAGTTTTCCAAATAAAAATATCGATCTAAATCAGTAAAACTATAAATAAAGTATGGATAGGTATTACCCTTTTCTTAATATATAAAATTTAATTTGAATTATATATTGCAACCCTGAAAATTAGTTACTTTATACGATTTAACAAAGTTTTTTAATTTTATTAATAAAATTGAATGAATATATGAAATGTATAAATATTGTATATACACATTTCGGTTAGTTTTTCTTTTCATTTGACACAATTATTAGCTTCCTTTCTTAATAGTTGATTATTTACTTTGTAAGGCATATTTAATAAAATATTATTTTTAATAGATTTTACCTACATTTCTATTGGAGATTATGTAATCTCATTAAAAAAAATATCATAAAGCTCTGAAGACTATCGACTTCCGGTTAATGCTGCAACTTTGTAGCCACAATGAAGTTTTTTTCTTCTTTGCAAAGATCAAGATTATGCATAAACATACTTCTCGCACATTAAACATTAAACAATTTATTGTGAATATTATTGTTGCCATACAATTTCCGCCGATTTCTAATTTCCGCTGAGTTGCCATTAAAATGAGCAAATCCCTTCGTTTTTAGTGCACCACACAGTCATCCTCATCATCGTCGTCGCCCGGGTGTGAGCCTGCTCTTGATAGCCGGGGGCTGCCATAATAAATGCAATGCTTGCCATAAAAATAAAAAAGAATAAAAAAACAACAACAATAACAACAACAACAAAATAAAGGAATAAAAACAAAAATGTTATAGTTTTGCAGCGAGCTCAGTTCGGTTTCAGCTTACGCTGCTCGAATTTCGCTCCGGCATTTTGCTCTGCTTTCCCCCAGAGCCCTCCTCCAATCCAGTTTCCAATCCCGATCCCGGGCCCAATCCCTGCTTCGGTTTCAAACCACTCACTCACTCACACATGGATTTGTTTTTCGGCGTTCGTGTTTATTATTCTTGGACGCCTTGCGTGCCAAGCGCCCTTCGCTGTTTATGGTGCCGCGTTACGCTTCCTCTTCGGTTCGTTTTCGGTTTTTAGTGGACACGCATTATTAAAAAATAAACAATAATGTATGATGTATACAAAAAGCAGAAACCAAACCGAACCGAACTGAAGCGTACTCAAGAATCATTTTCAGCTACTCCTTTTCTGCGGAAACTTTTTCGTGGCAAATCGTAAAAAGTCGACTCAAACTGCAGAAGCAAATAAAAAATACATAAAGTCGCTAAACCCCAGAAGTTCAAGGATGAATAGTAGAATACTCTAGCAGAGAGGATAAAAAATGCTCATAACATATAATTCTTATCCTTGTGATAATAAAAATCCATACCAATCGAAGATGAATATCATTTTATTTTTGTAAAATAATCATTAAAAATTTCCTTTGCTGAAAAGTAAACAAGGAATATATTTTTTACTTGATATTAAAGAGTTCATAAGCAAACAAGAGGATAATTTATGGTAATAACATAAATTTATTATCCTTGTGATAATAAAAATCAATACCAATCGAAGCTGAATATCTTTTAATTTTTGTAAAAAATATTATTAAAAATTCCCTTTACTAAAAGTAAATAAATTATACATTTGTTACTGTACATAATTATTCTTTTAAGCGTAATCTTAAAGAATACATCCCAATCCCCTTCCTAAATTCCACCCACTTATGAGGCTCTCAAATGAAACTGAGATTATTTTTCAATATTCTTAGACATTTATTATCAATTGAAAAGACGCCGCTGACAATTCTGCTGTAGTTTTGTAGGGCTTGGCTGGACGAAGTGGTTTTCAGTGTTCACCCGAGCTCAAATGAGTGTTCGACTGCGACAATTAGAAATCAGGCAAAACGAATCGAGAATCGAGACTCAGCGCCTGCCGCATTATCTTAAAACGCGTCGTAAAAATCACATTTCGCATTATAAAAATCAAGCTCTTGGGCCGGGCGGAGCCCAGCTGCTTCGCAGGCCAAGACAACAGGCCACTTGGTCTGGTCGTGGGCAACGGGGGCTATAAAATTTGCTTTTACGAGCGCCGGAGCAGAGCTCATTGCCTAAGAGTCCGAGGACACGGACAGGGATACGGACAGGGCAGGTAAGCTGGCCCAGGATATCTTGGGCCGCTGTCTTTGACTGGCTGACAGACATTACAATGATTTTAATGGATTTTATGGCCGAGACAGTGCACCCATATGGGCGCGCTGGGAACGCTGGCATTAAAAACTGTTTTATGCCGCTATCGCGCTTAAGCATATTGGTATTTTAGAATTTCGTACTAATTAAAGACAACAACTAGTTGATTGTTAAAATATTAATTAAATGCATTTTGTTTTTTCTTTATTTCGCAGCGATAACTAAAAAATCAATAGGCGAATTCACTGGAAGCAAAATGAGAATGGATGATCCTAACTTACCGAACGTGACAAAAAGAAAACCCCCGACTTCCGCAGAATTGTTATTTAATATCTAACCAGGCTTTGGCATAATTCCAACGAAATGTGAAAATAATAAATATCTAGAGTATGAATATGTAATACCCGAAAACATTTTCAAATTGATCTCAAAAACTTAAAAGTAATAACACATTTTTTAGAGATTGTAAAAGGCTCTTCGACGAGCGAAACCTATAACAAATCAAGCTGTTTACTATTTCATATGCACATGTATTGTATATAACATAGTTAATTGAAGTTTCTCTGCAAGAATAATCAAGAATCTTATACCAAACAGCACAAAAAACAAAATATTAAGGCACACGATTATTAAAAAAGTAATGCAACTAGGCTTGATTACTTAAAATCTGAACAAGCGATTCAAGAAACGGCAAGGGTATCGACTTAACTTTATTCAAATCCGTTACTTGTATACCGATAAAATGTTTAATAGAAACGAGATTATCAGCACGAAGCATAAGGGATATTTCAAGGACCTCTGGATAACAAGATAAGTAAAGCCAGACAGAGACAGAGAGCTAAGGTCTTGCAATTTAAATGAAATTAGAAGGTCTTTAAATAACCCTGAATTTTTCCTAATTCAAATATATTACGTTTTCTTTGGCTGTGCGCTGCAATGTGAAGAGAGCATCCTGCGGTTTATTATTTGTTTCGTGAGAACTGATCATCTGGCTGATCTGAGAATAGTGTAGCGTAATCTTTAAAGCTTAATGTAGTACACATTCTTCATTTTTTTTTTATATATTTACGTTTTCTCTTGTACAGTTTAACAAAAACCAAATATGTTATGCTATTCAATTTGTAGTGGAATTTATTTGTGTCCGCTTAAAAATACTACGCGAAATATTAGGATAAGGATATTACAACTTAGTAGAAACACATTTCAATTTAAACGAAAAACTCACTGTAAAACACTAAACAACTTAAATGGCATCCTAGTTAATTTCCATACAAATGCTTCAAAACAAAGGATTCAAATACATAAAACAATTATAGATTTATCTTAAATAAATAATTTGCTGTAAATAAACACATACGGGTGTTTTTACTTAACGCTGCATTTACAGAGTCTTATAGACCAAAGAGACCCTTGAGGTCATCGATTGTGAGTTTGGAGCTCACAGTGGATCCCGTTAGAACGCCGTTTGCCAGCTCCAATTTCTTATCCTGCAGCGCCTTAATTCTTTGCTCCACAGTATCCGCGCACATGAACTTGTATATAATGACATTCTTCTTTTGGCCGACGCGATAAATACGATCTTGGGCTTGTGCCTCCAGCTGGGGATTCCAGTGCAGATCCAGGAGTAAGAGATGATTGGCACCAATTAGATTTAAACCCACACCGCCAGCAGTGAGGGAGAGCAAAAGGACACGCCTGTTGTTGTTGGGATCATTGAACTGGTTGACAATGTCCTGTCGATTCTTCACCGGAATGGCTCCGTTCAGCGAAAGAGTTTGCATTCCGGCCTTCTCCAAATGATCGCGCAATATATCCAGCACGGATGTCCATTGGGATACTAAAATAGCCTTGTCATCCCTGGTACTCAGTATGGTATTCTTGAGAATGTCCATTATTTTGATCATTTTCGAAGAGGGACGACTCAGATTAAACACCGGATTGGTACGCTTCATCACATTCTTGGAGGCCTTGGCAAAACGTGCCTCTTCACCCCGCAGCGGTGCCTCATCTTTGCCATCTTCGTTGCTTCCACTGAGATTGGATGGCGAGGATGTGGATGTGTCCTTAATGGCCAATTTGTTTAGTTGTGCCAACAAATCGAGTTCCGGCGAATCGCTGTCGCTGCTGTCATTATTGACAGCTTCCTCTCCCTCAAGCATCTAAGGGAGAAATATAAGACCAAAATAGGAAAAGTATTAATCATATTTTTTCTAGAGGAGAAGGCCACAGGTATTGACCCTAAATATAACCATAACTCACGGCATCTATCAATCCGGGATGGCAGCAAATCTGACGTAGACGCAGTAGAAGCACCAGAATTTCATGCGACTTTACCTCCCTATTGCCGCCAGCCATTCGGGAGAACTTTTCGTGCATTTTGTAGTAGGCTCCATTTGGGTCTTTGATCTGGTTATATGTCGGCTTATTGGCATCTGATATAAAGTTGGCGTCCGTATCCTTTTCGGCACGCTGAAAGAGAAACTGGGCAAAGAGAGTTCTCGAGTACGTCATCACCATTTGATACACATTCATCTCGTCTGTATCCAGCGTGATCTCCATCAGACGCATCTCCTTCTGGGGAAGACTGTTTAGCTTGCCCTCTGACATCAGCTGGGCCTTGGTGCGTCTCAGCATCAGCGACTTCATCAGCAGATTTAGCCTGTTCTGTCCCCCGGCACTCTTATTATCGATCCACTTCTTCCACGTGTTCAGATCGTCAAAAGGCGAGCAGCGCAAGAACTTTAATAGGGCATACACATCGAGCTCCTTGTTCTGAATGGGAGTACCGGTCAAAGCCCAGCGGAACTTGCCACGCAGTTCACTAACAGCCATCGAGGACTGTGATTTATGGTTACGCACCACATGTGCCTCGTCCAGAATGATGCGACGCCAGTTGACCCGGAACACAGCACTCATTTCCTTATGTTCGCGAGCCACAATTTGGTAGGTGGTCACAACGATGTCGTAGGTGCGCAGGTGCTTCCCCTTGGTTTCCCGATTATTGCCGTGGTGCACGCAAACGGTCAGCTTATTCCGCATCACCTTGGAGTTTACCTCGCTCTCCCACTGACGCAGCAAGCTGGCCGGGCACACCACCAGTGTGCCACCTTTGTGGGCTACAAAAATGTTAAATAAATGGATAAATAGATATACATCAACTTGAAAAATTTGTAAACTTACTGTCTTTGCGACCCTTTGAGTTCCAACCCCCCACGCTTTTCCGCTTGCTGCCTTTCTCGTCCTCGTCGTCGCTACTGTCTTGATCAGCGGCAGTGCCGCTTTCCTGGCGATTCTTGCATGCTAGCACGGATGAGATCATGGTCAGAGTCTTGCCCAAGCCCATGTCATCGGCCAAAATGCCGCCACGCGGTTGCTGTTTTTCGCGCCACGACATCCAGGCCAAAGCGTGCTTCTGATGACCCATCAGATCTACTTTGAGACCAATCGGATCATCCGCTAGCACTTCGGGTCCTGGACAATCTTTCAGCGATTCGTGAAGATCCTAAGTTAACATAAATTATTAAAAATTGATACCATGAAGGTGGACATGCATTTGCCGATAACGTAACTAATTCAGCTGTGAAACTTTAATCTTAGCGGGCTCTTGGACAGCCGCCACACAGTAACTCGTGCCCAGCGACCCCCAAATATGAGGACGCTACTCAGATATCCGTTCAGACTCATCATACAAAAAGTCGAGATCTCACAAGTCGAACACCTTGGGATATTTACCTTTAACGAGTCCAGCGTCAGAGCCTTCTGGTTGTTAAACGTAGCCATTCCCTGGGTGCCTGTATAGACGGGTTTAATCTGATGGACTGCCGCCGATAGCTCCTCCCACTCAGCAGCGTCGCTTTGCGGGGTCATGGGCGCAGCCATCATCGGCTTGGTTGCCTTAATGGCGGGGACTTTGGCCGGTTCTACTTTTATGCTGCTTATGGCCTGCGATTTGGCTTCAATCTCCCTACGAAGACCGTCGATGCGCTTCTTTATCTGGCTGCCCTTGTCAGGCAGTTTGCTGGCCACCTTTTCATACAGCTTCTCGGCATCGCTCATCTGGCTACGCATCTCGGTCAGCTTCCGCAGCTCTTCGTGGTAGTTCTCCTGGCTAATCATCGGGGATGTGCGGGGGGCAACGGGCGAGGAGCGTTGCTTGAGAGCAGCCTGAATCGTGGGCTGGCTAAGGTTCTTGCCAGTCTTTATCACGGGAGCGCCAGCGCTGCTGCGTGGCGAGTAGGATCTGGTTGGACGCGAAATGGGAGGGTTAGAAACGTTTTCCTTGTTGGAGGCTTCGTCATCCGTGCTGGATATCTCTATAAGTGGCTCCTTGTTGCTGAGAATGAGTACATCACTGCCACTGCCACTGGAATCGTTCAGGGGCGCTGGATCTTCTGGGCTTTGAAACACGGTTGAGTGCAGATCCTCCTTGATATTTCCCGCAAAATGAGAGGAGTAGCGTGGCAAGTCCACAGTCTGAGGGAGACGGGCTGCAGCTATCTCCTTCTGCCCCTCGTTGCCGTACTCTATTTCGCTGTCGCCGTCGCTCAAATCTTGAGGACGCACCCCAGTGATGCTCATTCGTGTGCAGGGCGACAATGCACGCTGATCTAGCTCATCTTCCTCTTCGCCGTCGGATTCAATTCGCGGTGGACGCAGACGCTTACGTAGAGGTTTCTTTACGAGCTCCTCCCCGGATCCGCTTGAATGCTCCTCCTCGGATTGCTGCGACTGCTCCTCCTCGGAGTCCTGCGACTGCTCCTCCTCGGAGTCCTCCGACTGCGACTGCTCCTCGCCCGAGTCCCCCTCCTCCGAATCCGTTTCATCTATAACAACGCCCGACTGGCCAGTGGCGTTACTATAACGGTTCTTAAGACCGGATGAGCGGCTTGAGCGCCCTGCAAAAGGAAGGCGGATTAGGGCCTTGCACTTGCTCCACACCAATCAGTAGCGATCACTCACCCGAACTTGTGTTGTTGACCACATCATCCTCCTCCTCCTCCTCCTCCTCACTGTAAAACGTATCCTCGCTGGACATTTGAAGCAATTTATTTTATTTTTTCAACGAATCTCGCACGATGCTTGCAAACTCAGCGCCATTTAATACAGCCTTGCCACCTAGCAGAAGACTTAGGTATGACACCCTAGGAAGGTTTAGAGATGCCACCTCACTGGATATCGAATGCGCCTATCGATATGTTGAATATTAATTCGAGAAATCTCAGAAATCGTTGAATTTAGCCACTTTCCTTATTTTTTACATAACGATCGTATGTTGCTATATAATTGCTTGGATATTGGATATTTCATTTGACTCTATTTGTTATTATGGTACGCAATTTTCCTTCCACGATTATTTTTGTGACACGATTCAACATGATTGCGTCGTAGCTGTCGAAATTCCATTGACCGATACCAACGCTTTTCCGCACTTTGCAACACTGCCCGCGGACTTCTTTAAATTTTGCAGATTGCAGACGTATTATTAAAATATTAAATATTAAATATTAAACTTTCCAAATGGATGATTTTGATGGTACGTATGGCAGTTGGCAATTCATGTGCCCATGTAATTGGTGATCTTTCAGAGTTGGAAAGCCAGGACAAGCAGGCAGGGTCGCCGCCCTGCTGCAGTGCATCGATCATCCAAAGCGGCGAGCAGAATTCGGATGAAGTCAGCAATTCATGTGCCCATGTAATTGGTGATCTTTCAGAGATGGAAAGCCAGGACAAGCGCGCAGAGTCGCCGCCCTGCTGCAGTGCATCGATCATCAAAAGCGAGATGAACGATGAAATGGTAACATTTTGTAACTCCCCTGTATATCCAATGGAGGGATCCTCGGATGACGAGCAGAATTCGGATGAAGTCAGCCATCAACAGCAGACCGAAGTCGCTGACCAGAAAACTGGCCTATCCAGCGGTACGTCCTGAATAAACTTGAATAAACTTGCACACCTTCCTTTTGACTTATTCGTTTCCCCACAGAATATGCAGACGACAGGGACGCAATATTCGTAAGCGAACAGGAATATTTGGAGAAAAAGGCCCAAATCGATGCAATGGTCCAAAGAGTTCTGGCTTTGGAGCAGCGTCAGCGAGAGTTTGAGGCAAGTTCCGCCGTCAATAGTGATGAGCTGCAATGCGTGAAAATGCAGTTGGAAAAGTTGAACGCTACTCTGAACTCATTGGGAGAGTTCCTGGACACGTTGCGTATACAGACGAATGATCAGCCAATCACGATAAAGGTGGAGAACGAGGAGATAGAACAGCCTCGCTGGTCCAGCCTCTATTCCGGACTGAACCGCCATCGCCAGACCAACCACACATCGGCCGAGTTCTACGCCTACAAAAGCAACATTATCAACAGCTTGAAGGTAACTTATCCCAAGTTTCTGATCTCAGTGTAAACTTACCTTTATTGTAGACCATTTATGAGCCCATTGGGCCAACGACCACTGCCGACGACCTGCAGGAACAGCCTGCCGATTTGATGGTCCGTTTACTGCGACACCAATCCGATGGCCTCAGATGGATGCAGTTCCGTGAGCGACAAAAGATATGCGGCGGCATCCTGGGTGACGACATGGGACTCGGGAAAACTTTAAGCATGATCGCTTTGGTCTTGGCTTCAGAGCAAACTAAGCTGAAAAAGCAAGGAGACAGAAAGCGAGCGTTGGAAGCCAAGTGGGCCGATGAGTTCCAACGACTTAAAGTTAAAAAACTTCCCAAGTTCCGCATCTTCGATGATGAATCCGAGGAAGAGGAAGAGGAAAAGTACGAGCCGCCACCGCCAAAACGAGAATGCTTCAGTCCCGAACCGGAGATCTCCGAGTCGGATGACGAAGTCTGCGTGGGGACCACTCGTTATCAAAAGGCTGCCACACTGGTGGTTTGCCCCATGAGCGTGATGTGCCAATGGGTACATGAGGTAGCTACCAAGGTGGCACCGAACGTCTTGAAGGTTTTGACCTTCCACGGTCCCAATCGCCACGACCTTGGGATCGACCAAATAAGAAGCTACGATATGGTGGTTACCTCCTACCATACGGTAGTGAGTGAATACAAAAGGTACGGAAGTGCCTCTGCCCTGTTCGCACTTCACTGGAAGCGGGTGATCCTCGATGAGGCTCACATTATAAGAAATGTGAAAACCAACGGCTGCATTTCCGTTTGCCATCTGAAAGCACGTTGCCGTTGGGCCTTGACTGGTACTCCTGTCCAGAATAGGGCCATCGATGTATTCGCTTTGATGCAATTCTTGGGCGTGCCAAATTTTCGAGATATCCTGCAATGGCGAAAGTATTTGAATGAAGGCATGAAAGGCCACCGCAGGCTAAACTTCTTCATCAAACCCCTTATGTTGCGCAGAACAAAGCAGCAGCTCCAGGCTAGTGGCGACATGCCTGCACTGCCTCCCCTGCATACCGAGGTGGTGTGCGTGAAGCTCTCCGAGCCAGAAATGGCCGTGTATCAAATCCTGTCTGCTCTATCGCAAAGGATATTTGCGCAGTTCCTGCAGCAACGCGAGAAGGGCAATAGCGATTTGAACTATTACGCGTTGAAGAAGACACCGCAGTTCATCAAGAAAACGTTTGACGCCAAATATGCAGATATCTACAATAGATTTCTGCGATCTCTTGGCTACAATCCCAGGGCAAAAATTAAGGGCGTGGTCATCCTGGTTCTGCTGTTGCGCTTGCGACAGTTTTGCTGCCATCCGGGATTAATGCTGGGGGTGAGTATACTTTCACTTTCTGATAAGCAATCTTTAACCCTTTCCCCGAACAGATGTTGTGTGGTTCAATGACCGCAGAAGATGTGCAGAACGTGAAGGTCGATGTCGAAGATGTAGACGGGCCCTTGAAAATGGATGTCCTCGCCGAATTGGAAAAGTATCAACCGAGTCAACCTGATGGCGAAGACGATGACATGGATGATGGAGAACGTCAACCAAAAATAGTAAAATTCAAACTGGAAGACTTAAAAGTAGAGAAGACGGAGCCAGAGGAAGAGAAAAATTGGTGGGAAAATAATGAGGGTCCTTCCTCGGGCCACTATTCGGCTGATCCATTGGATGGAGCCCGGGCTCTCAAGCTGCTTAATCCCCAGAATCCCATATTCGAATTCGAGCGGCCCTCCGCCAAACTAAAGCTGATTATCGAGAAAATTCAGGAAATACTCACCAGCACCCATGATAAAATCATCGTCGTTTCACAATGGGTCACCTTTTTGGCGATCATTCGAAAGCGTTTGTATGATATGTCCTGGGAGACGCTCGACTTCACAGGTCAGATGAACGCCAAAGAACGCGAGGAGGTTCTTAGCGATTTCAACGTGGTCACCAACGATAAGCGGATTCTGTTACTTTCCCTCGCCGCTGGCGGCGTGGGATTAAATCTGAACGTGGCGAATCATTTGCTGTTGATCGACCTACATTGGAATCCACAGCTTGAGCGGCAGGCCCAGGATCGTATTTACCGATACGGTCAGAAGAAACCCACCTTTATCTACCGCTTTATGTGCGTGGACACGGTGGAGCAGCGCATTAAGGCTCTCCAGGAATATAAGCTGGAGATCGCGAAAGTTGTTTTGCTTGAGGAACAAGGTGGAGTGTCGTCGCGAGGTGGCGGTGGTCTGAACATCAAAGAGCTGAAGCAATTGTTTTCGATGTGAACGAACGATCATCGTTTATCGTTTTGTTAAGTTTTTTGTTAAGTTAATACAATCGTTGTGTTCCTTTCAAATGTATCATTTAATCAAAATTAAAAAAGACAATTGAAGTAAATACATTTTTGTTTATACATTGAGTGCCTTAACAACTAGGGAATGATTAAGATAACAAAGATATATGAAAGTATGGACAGATATTTATATAATGAGTTATTTCCAGCCTAGCTTTCGAGCAAACATAAATTAAAATAGCTTCAGCTAACCAAGAGAATCTCTGAAAGAAGTCGTTTCAAACAGCATCACAAATATTCAGTATAAGAGAGTACTTCATTTTTGTCAGAAAGCTTAAGGAACTATAGGAAAATTATATAACATTAATGGATTAATAAAGTCAAAGATTAATATATGCATTACGCTTTCCTAAAATTAATTAGTTATAAATAAACTTTATATTAAGAAACGTAAAAAATAACTCAAACATGATCTGATCTTTAATTCCGATTATCATGCACATTGTGCTTATGCCGTTCAAGGATGTACTTCTCGCTGAATACGGCCGGACACAGCCCGCAGGAATACCGTTTGGCCTTACCATGCTCTGCGTGGACGCGTGCCAGGTGCCGGGTCAAGTTATCAGAGCGCGCAAAAAGTTTCAAACATACGGAACACTTGTGTTCCGGTTTTGAAATGTGAGTTTTTAGATGTCGCCGCATGTTCGATTTGTTCTGCTTGGAGTGGCAAAAGGGACACACGTCGCTCTTTTTCTCTGATAACTTTTTTGGTTTCCTTAAAAAAAATAGATTTGCAATTAGTTGGGCTTTAGAAAAAAAAAATAATGAAAACCTACTCGCTCTGCTCCGCTGAAGTTGTCTCCTGATCGAATCCACTTTCATTTTGCATCAAAGTTGGAGTGTCTTCACTTCTTTGAATGCCAGAATCATCGATGGTGTTACTTTCCAGGCTTAGGTTCAGACTTTCTATTTCCCAATCGCTGAAAAAAGAAATATTCGGATTATTCATTCATATTTTTTTATGCCTCAGTGTTGAATACAAAAACTTGTTCTTCATTAAAAATGTTACTCCAAAATATTAAATTATCAAAAATCAAATCTCACCGCAACACAGGGGTAGATTCTGCTACTGGATTCGTGTCGCTTATATCGTTGATCATATTATTGTCCTCCGTGTCGACATCCTTGTCCTCCCAGTCAGGATCCTCTAGCTCTGTGGCCCCGACTGTATTCTCCTCGTGCTCGCGCTGATGGATTTTCAATTGGTTGCGCTCAATAAATATGGCCGAGCACTGCCGGCAGGCATGAGGAACCCAATCGTCGTGGGTGCGCAGGTGTTGCATTAACATGTATCTCAAGAAAAAAGCCTTTGAGCAGATGGGACAGTGGTGCTTCGGCTCGGAAAACTGGAAGCTCTTCGCCTCGGGATTAAGTAACTTGCTTTGATTCCTTAAGAATGAAGAGGGAGATATATTCTCCTGATCAAATCCACTTTCAGCTTGCTTTAAAGCTGAAATATTCTGACTGTTTTCCATGTTACAATCTTGGAGTGCGCTGCTCTCTAGACTAAGGTTCAAACGTTGCGGTTCCAACTCGCTAAAAAATTATAATTAAATATAACTTGTATTAATTTAATAATTAAATTATATTCAAGGATGTGCATGTAAATAAGAACAATGATACTCACCGCGTAATCGTCATGGATTTCGCAGTATTCGTAATGTTGATATCATGCACTAGCGTTCTATGAGTTTTGAGGTCTTCTTCCAGGACAAATGAGTCGGAGCAAAGGTCGCAAAAATGCTTGTGGTCACTGGTTGAAAGAAGAGCGCTTTAATGTCTTTGTTATATTAGCAAAAGTAAGATTTACGTACGTTTCCAGCACTGGGACATTTTCAGCTATGACATCTGAGCGGTTTTCCTTGTTGATTATATTATCAGCCTCTAAAACAGGACTTTTGTTTCCAACCATTTCCTCATTGTGCTCCTGCTGATGCATTTCCAGATAAGTGGCATCGGGACATACCATGGCGCACTTATTGCAGGAAACCGGTCTACGCTTGCCGTGGGTACGAAGGTGGTCAGTGTAGCAATCCTTTCGCCAAAAAAACTTGGGACAGTAGGGACAATTGTGGGTCGGCTTGGTGGTGTGGGTAAGCAGGTGTCTCCTTAAGCCCCATCTTCTCTTGTATGTGTTATTGCAATGAACACACGCGAAGCGATTATTCCTATTTTTTGTCCTAAACAAATATTTTGTATGTTATTTAACAAATCTTAATTACCTCTAATTTAAATTAAAATTTTTTAATGTCTGTATTAGACCCCGACTAACCTGCCAGTTCCAACGGGTGATCTCAGCATTGGTGTGTTGTTGGTTGCTCCTGGAGACAAATCAGATCGGGAATCGTCAGCTTTAGGAGCTTCTTTGTGCCCCGATTCCGGGGAAATTGCTTGCTGGTTATCCTCATCCTGATCCCCCTCAAGGGAATCCTTGTTTTGGAGCTCGCAGAAGCGGTGGTAGCTGCGATCGCACTGACGCTTGAACCTGAAGGCCGTCTGGGCAGTTTGGACGCAGGACAGGCAGATGAACTGCGGCTGACAGTCGTCCCGCCGAACGGAGCGGTTGGTGCACTCACTCAGGATGTAGGAGAGATTCCTCACCGGCTGCTCGAGCGCCGGATCGCGCACATCTGAGAAGATATTCACCAGGGTGACAGAGTCGCCCATGCAGGTTCTACACACATTCTGCATCTTCCAATTGGATAGTAACCTTGGGCAACAACACGCTTATTCACAAAGTAACCACATTACGGTGCTTTACGGATTACAAATTGTTGACCTGTTTTATCTCTATTAACTAAACAAGAAATCACATAACTGCAGTACAACTTTATTTATTGACTTGTTTCGGATTACTGCACAATTTTGCCCATGCGTGTGAGTGCGACAATTTCGAAATAACGCGGTCTTGTTTAAGACATGGGCGTAGCGTAGCAATCACTACGCATCTATTACTGTGAGTGCGAGCAGGCTGGCAGCTATGTCTAGTGCTACCACTGCGGGTTTGTCGGCAGAGCTCAAGCAAAGAAAAAAAAACCTCGGTAAAGCACAGTTTTACATGTAAACAGTAAAAATTTATACTTATTCAAATAACAAAAAGCATTTAAATTAAATCGTGGCCCTCAATTAAATTATGAGTAACATAAAGTTTATTAAGAGTAAAGTTTAATATTTTCAAGACCCCCCCAACATATGTTCTGGCCAACGCCACTGCATAAACTGGGGCGAGTTGGCAGGGCAATCAGCTGATTTATACTTGGAGTGCGGAAATATGTCTGTGTGTTTATGAAAATTACGCAGCTCCATGGGACAACTAATAGTTATGTGAGTGGCTAGGTGGCAATCACAACGAGCGCTACTCTCTTCCCCACCGATTTCTCGCTAGCCTGGATAAGTTGGCTCGTATAGCTCTGCGGTCCCAGAATCGCATTGCACAAAACCGCAGCTCGTTGGCAGGAAATCACTGCAAGGGCCACTGCAGCGTATCTGGGCCAGGCAACCAGGAAAGCTGGAATATGCTGAGCCAACTGCCTCTCTTCGCTGGCGGCGAGATTGTCCGGGGATTCGGACGCGGCTCCAAAGAACTGGGCATTCCAACAGGTTGGTGGCTATGCGCACTGAGCCTCGAAGGTCATTGCTAATTGATAACCAAACCACTTATTGTTTCCGCGCTCTTAGCTAATTTTCCACTGGACGTGGTGAAATCTCTGCCGGAAACCCTGCCCACGGGCGCATACTACGGTTGGGCGAATGTGGACAACGGACCCGTTTACAAGATGGTTCTTAGTATCGGCTGGAACCCCTTCTACAACAACAAGGAGAAGAGTGTGGAGACGCACATGCTGCACGACTTCAACTGCGACCTGTACGGCCAGATACTAAAGATCTGCATAGTGGGCTATCTGCGCCCGGAGCGCAGCTTCGACTCCCTGGAATCACTGATAGCCGCCATCCAGAACGATATCGCAACGGCGAAGGAACTGTTGGAGCAGCCTGACAAGGCCAAGCTGAAAGAGGCTCCCTACTTCGTCGAGAAGCTCTGACGGAGAGGTTAAAATGATTATTCCAGAAGCTATCTTATCACATCGAATATCGACCCAAGTACTTAAGCTGGCTGTTTGCATTAAATTCCGATTCCCTCATCATGACACCAAAAACAAAAGCTATCTCGTTTATATTTTCTATAGGATTTATATCAGATTTAGTTTGGCCATCAGGTAATAGCTAAGATTGTGAATTATATATCCCTAGGTGATGATCCGGTGGCTATATTGTTAACGAATATCATATAATACATACATACATATATGGGCTAAATAATGGGGAAAAAATGATTCAAGTTGTGTATGTTTGTAATTTATGTTTAAAAAACAAAGTAAAAAAAAAAGTTTTTTTAGTGAATACAATAAAAAAAAATATTTTTATCAAATATAAAAATTTGTACAATTTTTTACACCCAGTTTGAAAAAATAATAAATACCTTTTATCGATCAAACCAAAATCCACCTATCGATAGGCACGACCGATCAATATTAGGCTTGATCGCCGATTTCCCCCCGACCCCCTCCGCACAGAATTAAGCTGCGCGTGCGAGCGCAGGATTTTTCGTGTATAAAACAGTTGCATAAACCAACAGGTTAGTCAGATAGCCGCCAGCTGCCCCAGAACCTGCAATCTTCGATCCGATTACCATATTGCACATATATTTCCCAGCAGCAACATGTCGACGCCACAGCAACAGCAACAGCATGTGCGCGTGGTCGAGCAGCAGCCGCAACAGGTGGAACCAGCTGAAGGGGCCGCGACCTCCAGCTCTATCGGTGGCACGGAATCCATATCGGCCAGCAAGGAGCTAACCGGTTTGACCCACGAGTGCGGCGTGTTCGGTGCCATTGCTTGCGGGGATTGGCCCACGCAGATGGACATTGCGCACGTGATCTGCCTGGGGCTGGTGGCGCTGCAGCATCGCGGTCAGGAGTCCGCTGGCATAGCCACCAGCGAGGGCAAGTGCTCCAAGAACTTCAACGTGCACAAGGGCATGGGCATGATCAGCACCCTGTTCAACGACGACTCCATGAAGAAGCTCCGCGGCAACCTGGGCATTGGGCACACGCGCTACTCCACCGCTGGTGCCTCCGAAGTGGTTAATTGCCAGCCGTTCGTGGTGCATACTGCCCACGGAGCACTGGCCTTGGCCCACAATGGCGAGCTGGTCAACAACGAATCTCTAAGGCGAGAGGTCTTGGCCAGGGGAGTGGGATTGTCCACCCACAGCGACAGTGAGCTGATCGCGCAATCCCTTTGCTGCGCCCCCGAGGACGTCTCGGAGTTGGATGGACCCAATTGGCCGGCTAGGATCAGACACTTCATGATGCTAGCCCCGCTTTCGTACTCGCTGGTCATTATGCTGAAGGATAAGATCTACGCTGTGAGAGACACCTATGGCAACAGACCGCTCTGCATCGGAAAAATCGTTCCAATCAATGCTGGACATGGAAATCGCGAGGATACGCCCGCCGACGGTTGGGTGGTTTCCAGCGAGAGCTGCGGCTTCCTCTCCATTGGAGCAAGGTATGTGCGAGAGGTTGAGCCCGGCGAGATTGTGGAGCTCACCCGGAGTGGGTATCGCACTGTGGACATAGTGGAGCGACCCGATTTCAAGCGAATGGCTTTTTGCATCTTTGAGTACGTGTACTTCGCCCGAGGCGACAGTATCTTTGAGGGTCAAATGGTCTACACAGTGAGGCTGCAGTGCGGCCGGCAGCTGTGGCGCGAAGCACCGGTGGAGGCGGACATCGTTAGCTCCGTTCCTGAATCTGGAACAGCGGCGGCGCATGGATATGCCCGGGAATCGGGCCTTGACTTTGCCGAGGTACTCTGCAGGAATCGATACGTAGGACGTACCTTCATCCAACCGTCGACCAGGTTGCGCCAGCTTGGCGTGGCCAAGAAGTTTGGAGCTCTGTCGGAGAATGTGGCTGGCAAGAGATTGGTCCTTATCGATGACTCCATCGTGCGGGGCAACACTATCGGGCCCATAATCAAGCTGTTGCGGGATGCAGGCGCTAGGGAGGTGCACATACGCATAGCTAGTCCGCCGCTGCAGTATCCTTGCTATATGGGTATCAATATACCCACGCGCGAGGAGCTGATTGCCAACAAGCTGAACGCCGATCAGTTGGCCAGACATGTGGGCGCCGACAGTCTGGCTTATCTTAGCGTGGAAGGTCTGGTTGAGGCGGTGCAGCAGAAGCAAAGGGATGCAGCAGGCGATGGACAGTCCAAGCCCACGGGCCACTGCACCGCCTGCCTCACTGGCGAGTATCCCGGTGGACTGCCCGACGAGTTGAGTTGGTAATATCTTCCAGAAACCAGTTTTATTACTCTCTTTTGCCCACCAACCACACAAACAGAACGATTGCAGTATCAAAAGCCATTGAGGGCGCGGAAATGCTGTCACAAATTTTGCATTTAGCTTATCTAGCATTACAGACTCACTCACCCATTCCCATATACACTCTCTCTACCTTCTTAGATCCTAAGCGAAGGGCCATCGAGCTCTCCCAAACTTGTTTTGTCTCTGAAACTACACACTCATAGTACAAAATATAGCCCTCTATATTGCCCCCCCTGGAGTTTTTTGATTCAGAATGCCAATAATAAAGACATTTAGAATAAGAAGAAACCTTGAATAGTTCCAGTTTCTGTGGGACCTTGGGGGTGTGGCATTACATATCCGATATCATCCAGTGCAGGCCAAGGTATGCTCAATCAGCCGATCGGTTAATGCTTCAAGTCATAAGCAGATCAAGGGAATTATACATTTCTGAATTAAAGAAAACTTTTAAGAAAAGCAAGTTATTTATTCAGTTTTCTTAGCTTTTATTCTTAATTGTTGCTGATACCTATTTATTTTTATTTACTTCTAATATGTATATATTTCCATAAAAAAGTCAAACGTCTGCCAAAGATAGACTCTATAATAACGTAAGATCATTTGAATTTAAGACTCCAGCATATTTTCAAAGTCCTTTAGCTCCAATTCTCGTTCGATGACCTGCGTATACAGATTGTCAAGTGTTTCCTGCATTCGCTGCTTCAAGGTGGCGTTCTGGATGGAGGCAATCTCCGTAGATTTCTGAGACTGCTGGGCTTTTAGATCACTTATTTGCCGCGTCAACTGACTGATTTTCTCCTGGACCTGCTGTTGCGTGTATTGCGGCTGCGGATCCTCCATGAACTCCATGTTCTCAAACTCTTCCCGCTTGGCCAGCATCGAGCTGTCGTAGAAGCCACTGGGAGCAGCCAGGTTGGAGCTGGAACCGGCGGCGCTCAGCTTTGGACTGCTCGGTTCCTGACCAAACATGGACTTGCTGAACTCATTCTGCTCCATTTTCATACCGCCAGCACCAGTATTGCTGCCACTGGCGGCGCCAAAGAAGTCCGACATGCGCGAATCATCGGCTGAGAGGCGTGATGATTCTTCCAGCTCCCGTCGCTGCCCAGTGGTGTTGCCTCGGTCGGGTTCATCTTCGTCATCGGTGGTGGATACCTCCTCACCGAAGATGTCGTGGGCGGCAACGCCCATGTTGGGCGCTCGGTGGGTGGGAAAGTTGCTCGTCTCATCGTCATCAGACTCCACATTGATATCCCGCTGCGAGCTATTCTCCATGATGGTCTTATCGCTGGCATGCATGGTGGTTTCATCCTGCATATCGTCGTCGGCATCGTTGTATGGCTTGATATCTGATTGATCCAAGTCATCCATGGGCTTATCCTCCTCGTTGATGATCTCGTAGTCCACCCTGACGGCTTCGTTATCAATGCGTAGCAGGTGCTTCACTTCCTTCTCGATTTCCGGGGCTTCCACGTTTTTCTTTTTCAGAGTTTTCCGGAATCGACGTTTCCTCACGTTCTTGCACGGCGGTGTAATGCCGTGCGGAAACAGATACTTTTTGTCCACCTTGTTGGGATCCTTCTTCTTATTTTTGTTGGGTGATTCCTTTTCCGTTTCGTCGTCGGGTTCCTCCTTGCAGATGAGTATCTGGCAGATGTCCGCTGATTTGTAGAAGCTCTTGTTATCAATGGTCTTGTAGCTCTCCACCACGGTGGGCAAATCCACGAGCTTCGCATACAGCAACTGGTCATCCAAGCGGACTTCTCCATAGCGCAGATCTTGGTCCAGTTGAATGGTCAGTCGGTCCTTTACGGTTCCGGCATTTATGGCTTCATGGACATTGTCAGCGAGTTCCTGAGGATTATTAGAAGTTATTAGAATCATTGAGTAAACAAAGCACTTCACCTCACCTTGGGTACGCGCATAATAAACTGGCTTTCCAGCTCCACGCCATCTTCTCGTGGCTTATGCTCTCCTTGCTTAACCTTGTCGCTTTTCTTTTCAAACATTTTAAAACGATTTAATGGTCTAAATACGCGATTTATTAAGAAGTAAACATTTGTGTTTCTAAATCTTAGATTTTGAGTGTTGAAAAACGACTTTAGATGAGTAAGATGGCTTTCGTAAAGTTCCCACGGTAAATAAATTTTTAATTTATTTTATAAAAATCAACATTTAATCCAGTAACTTTTTTGATTGAATTTAAAATTATTATATTTATGAAAATTTCCGGTTTTATAAATTTAACAAAAATGACTGTCACGAGATATTTGTGCGCTGCTCAACACTGTTCGTGATAACGATAACATATCGGATGACCAACTGTCATAACCAACCCTGCTCCAATTTCTTCTTCTCATCCCATTTGCTATGACGGAAAACACGAATTAATGTGGATTTTGATTAGTTTATAACATAGAAACGCATAGGAAGTTGATTAATTAGTGCTCACGTCAGTCGAAGGGGAGAAAGCAAGGCGGACGACATGCAGGCGAAGGGAATGCTGGCCGGTCTTTCGGCGCTTCTGCTCTTGAGCACCTGCTCGGCGCTGTACGAAGACCAGATCAAAAAGTTCGACTGGTGAGTGGCATGATATCTGACCATTGACCCGGCGTTAATCCGGTGGTTCCGTCAATCCCCCCTGTAGGCGAGGCGTGAATGTGGGTGCCTTGCGGCAGTCCCGCGTGGACCTGAACCACTTTCAACCGCGAATTCTGCTGAGCACGAACGAGGGTGTCGTGGCCAGTGTCTGCGTAAAGACCGGCGAAATTGTGTGGCGCCAGGTGCTGGAGCAGAAACCGCGGGGCGATATCAAGCTTCTGCAGGTGAGCGGCTTCTCGGACGACAGCAGTGACACGGCCGCCGCTCCCATTGGCAGCAACATGGGTTTCGATATGCTCACCGTTCAGGGACATGCACCGGCTCTGGTGCGCGGCTGGAACACCAACATGGGCGCTCTCGAGTGGGAGTGGTCCACCATGCCGCTGAACACGGAGCGGGCCCTGGATGGCCTGTGGTTCTACAGCAGATCAGTGCTATACCACGTAGTGCCCACCTGGAAAAGCCACTTGGAAGTTACTGCCTATTTTGCCAGCTCTGGCCACAGCACTGGAAGTACCAGCAAAGTAATGGCCTCGTGGATCACGCCGGAGAATTGCTTACTCAGCGGCACGTACTACATCTGCGTGGATGGCAAGCAGTTGATCAGCCTGGATCTGGTGTCCAAGAGTGGCCAGGCGTTCCGGACAGCGCTCGAAGCAGAGCCCAAGAGCAAACTCCAACCCTTGGCGGTAAGACATTAAAAATCAAGAGTTTTTTTCATATAAAAAGCAACCAATTGCTATTATTTAATAGGGTCTCAATGGTGTGCTCATCGCGGATGGAAAACTCATAAGTGTGAACAAGGACCAAGCCGTCTGCAGTGGACTGCAGAGCTCCAGCTATGCAGTGGGCACCTTTAACTATCGTAAAATTCTGGCCTATGCGGATGTCGCTTCTGGAGTGGGTTTCTAACTATTGAATATCTTTTAATTTGATAAATTTATAAGTGATTTTTGTTCTCTTAGATTCTCAAGATCAATGCCGTTTATCTGGATAACTGCTCGCCGGTAGCCGAGCTTGAGCAGGGTGTGCCCTTCCCCGAACACTTTGGCACACCATCGCTGAATAGCTTCGACTGCAAGCTGAAGCGCAATGGAGAGGGCAAGGGCTGCCTGTTCCTGTTCAGTACAAGTGCCGAGTCTATTCTGGCCGTGCAGGGGGGACGCATCCGTTGGTCGCGCGAGGAGGCTCTAGCTAACGTAATCGATACGCAGTTTGTAGATCTGCCGCTGGCCGATACCGAGGGTACACTGGAGAATGAGATGAAAGGCAAGGCCGGTGAGTATTGTTTTGAGAAGATGAACTCCAATTGAAATTCTAAATGATTTTCTTCTAAAATTGCCCACCAAAGTGGATTTCACAAGTTTCGAGAGTAAGTCAATTTGAGAAAAAATAATGTGCGAGAGTGTTGTATTTTGTTGTTTATAATTTGCAATGCTAGTTTGTGAAAAGTGCACACAACCACAATTTTCCTATGTTATGCAAGTCTCTAGATTTTGTTTTATTTATTTTTATATACATTAACTGAAATTAGTTTAATATCTCAAGCTCATCGACTTCCCCCTTAAATAGGAGATATTGTCAGCGCATTTTTGCGACGCATCACCACTCAAGCGGTTCAAATCCGAAGCCTGTTCCTTCATGTCATCGGTCTTGGTCCGCCGCCAACGGCTACTCAGCGAGCTGGCCTGGTTCGTGATTCCTTTGGCCTCCACAAAATGCTGGTTGTGCTGACACGTTCTGGAAAGATTTTTGGCATTGACAACATCTCTGGCAAGCACCATTGGCAGCTGTATTTACCCAATGTAAAAGGCTTTGACAATGCCGAGCAGATGCGTCTGATTATCCAGCGATCCGCCAAGCACTTTCCTCTCCAGCCACTCTGCACCATTTTGGCCCAGGATGCTGTAAGTCTGCTTGGGTACTCTAATTGGTTTCCTAACTAAAAACTTTATTTTTGTAATAGGCAAATGGCAACGGCGTGCTCTACCGCTTCAATCCCATCACAGGCCAAGCCTCAGAGGGCGGCCTCCTGCAGCTGGACTACAAAGTTAAGCAGCTGTCTCTGCTGGGCGAGACTGAAAATGATTTTGTCAAGGGAATTCTCTTATTGGATGCCTCCAACAAGGTTCATGTATATCCCCAGCATGCTACGTCATTGGTAAGGCTCTAATAGGTTAAATATATACATTTACTTACCCCTAAATTACTTCTCAGGCCGATGGTTTGTATCTCTACACAGCCGATGTGAAAACCTCCGAGTTGACGGGATACTTTGTGAAATATGCGGGCGGGGTAAGTTTGTCTCTGTTCCCAGTTCCCTGGACTGTCCCCTAATTAACCTGTTTCCGCAGCAATTGTCGAGCACGCACATTTGGAACGTCCGTCTGGGTGGCCACAATTCTGAGCAGCAAATTATCGGCGTCGCCGGAAAGAATCCCATCGAGCATGTCCACTCGCAGGGCCGTGTGCTGGGCGATCGTTCGGTGCTGTACAAGTACATTAACCCAAATTTAGTGGCTTTCGTTACACAGGCGCCGGATGCCACCCACAAGTGTAAGTTTTAAAGCACTTATTTTAAATATTATATTATTAATGAACCTCCTCTCCCCAGCTATTCTCAATTTGTATCTGGTGGATGTGGTCTCTGGTTCTGTCATTTTCACAATGACACATCGCAAGGTGCGGGCTCCATTGAGTATTGTCCACTCGGAAAATTGGTTGGCTTACTCCTATTTCAACGAAAAAGTACGACGCACAGAGATTAGTAAGTAAACGATTTGTATCTCTATATTAAATTCACAGCGAGTTAACCTTAATAATTCAATTTAAAGCCACCATTGAGCTGTACGAGGGCAAGTCCCAGGCCAATAGCAGTGTTTGGAGCTCCTTGCAGGCGCCACCAATGCCGCTTGTTGAGCGTCAGTCTTACATCATCCCAACCATAGTCGAGGCTCTGAGGGAGACGATCACGGAGCGCGGTATTACCAATAAGCATGTGCTGAGTACGTTATACAAACTCATATTTGATCAGATGTTACTAATCGAAATTTTGCATACTCCTAGTTGGCACCTCCAGTGGTTCCATTGTGGAAATGCCGTGGCATTTGCTGGACCCCCGCCGTCCCATTGCCTCCACCACGCAGGGCCGAGAGGAGGGAGCCATTCCCTACATACCCGAGTTGCCTTTGCCAACGGAGAGCCATATAAATTACAACCAGACGATCGCCCGCCTGCGTAATATTTACACAGCGCCCAGCGGTCTGGAGAGTACCTGTCTAGTCGTTGCCACGGGCTTGGGTAGGCATTATCTAATGGCAGGGCCTTTAATATTTTCTAACAATTCGTTTCTCTTTCTAGATTTGTTCGTTACGCGCGTGGCGCCATCAAAGACGTTCGATTTGTTGAAGGAAGACTTTGACTACATATTAATTTCCATAGTGCTAGTCGCGCTCACATCGGGCTCGTTGATTGTTAAGCATTTAGCGTCGCGTAAATTGCTTAAACAGGCGTGGAAGTAGGCGTGGCATTATTATAAAATAATTGCTTTATATACATATACAATTTTACTGCGACCAAAAAATACAACAAGTGAGAGGACGGAATAAAGAGCAGCGGAGCGAAAAAGCGATGAGAATATTGATATAATATAAAATAATTTTGGTAGTCGCATTACATACCATAATGCAATCGATAAAACCCATTTCTCAACGCTAAGCCTAGGCAATTATTTATAAATAATTATATAGAGTTAAACATCAGATAATTATAATTAGCTGTTGAAAAGGTTTTCATTGCATTTTTGTGTTCCTTAATTTGTGTACGTTTCAATTTCCATTTATGAAAAATATCAGCATTGAAAGTGTGTGTTTGAAAAATCTAGTTAATAAAGAGCATTTGTAAAGGAGGAAAAAGGTAAAATAAAAAAAGAAGTTTTTCATCAATTTAAATGAGTTTTATGTGTTCTGGCATTGTGAGAGCTGATATTCAATTTATAGATTTATTTTTAAACCTTTTAATATATATTTAATAAAAAAAAACATTAGTTAGACTTTTTAAATAAATAACATTTAACTAGATAATTAATAATTTAAAATAATTTGCGCAGAGCTAATTCAAAAGCGCCCTCTGGCGGTGGTATTAATCGTAGTGTTGAAAAATGCAAAAATGCACTGCTGAAGAAACTGATGGTGATGAGATGATTTAAGGTTTTTAAGATATATTTTAATTAATTTCCGAGTTACATTATTTTCTTAATATTTTTTTTTTATTTTGAAGGTCTAATATCTTAAGGCTCTCCTGAAAAATCCTATTTTGAAAATCGATGTACATGATAACTTTAAATATGTATTCTCATCCAATCGGTTTGGATTTTGGAGCATAACTTCTTTAAATAATTCTAAGCTTTTTTTTTAATTTTATAGAGATTTTTATTTAATAAATTAATTTAATTTTTAAGTTGGAAATCAGGGTTTTGACTTCAAGAAAAAATTTTAAAAAATAAAAACTCTGCTTGAGTACCTCGGGATATTTATCCTTTAAATAATGCAATATATATTATTACTCCTAGACCTCTAAATATCTTTTTAATACAAAAATTTTAAAGATTTTGATCGAATGGTGTGTTATTTTCTGATCGTCCCTATGGAAGCTATAAGCTTTAGTCGTCCGAATTCATAAAATTAATAAACAGATTTTAGAATCATAAAACGTGGCCATATCTTAAATTAGATGAAAATATGTTGAAAAACATCGAAATGAAAATATTTTTCTATTAATTTCCGGATTTTTCTATGAAAAGAGATTGCCTTAAAATACAAGTTTTCTACTTTAGTTGTAATAATTTACAGAAATATGTTTTCAATTCCTACAAATGCTCAATAAGCTTACTGCTCTATCCCCAGTTTATCTTGCAAACATATTTTCTTTCATTACATTTATATACCCTTGCAGGGTATTATAATTTCAGTCAGATGTTTGCAACGCAGTGAAGGAGACGTTTCCGACCCTATAAACCATATATATTCTTGATCAGCATCAACAGGGGAATCTTTCTAGACATGTCAGGAAGAAATCTATTTTTTTGCCATTTTTGCAAAATTTTATAAGGGGTTACATCATTAAAATTTTTGATTTTGATAAAAAATTGAATTTTCAAAATTTTTAAATGAAGTATGAAGATTTATTAACTGTAGAAAATCTTGCACAGAAAATCTTTTCCGATTTAAAATTAATGCTCTTTTGGCCGAGTTATGATATTTTTATACCCTTGCAGGGTATTATAATTCCAGTCAGAAGTTTGCAACGCAGTGAAGGAGACCTTTCCGACCCTATAAAGTATATATATTCTTGATCAGCATCAACAGCCGAGTCGATCTAGCCATGTCCGTCTGTCCGTCTGTCCGTCTGTCCGTCTGTCCGTCTGTCCGTCTGTCCGTCCGTCTGTCCGTCCGTCTGTCCGTTTCTACGCAAACTAGTCCCTCAGTTTTAAAGCTATCTGAATGAAACTTTGCATATAGTCTTCTATATACTCTCACTGCTATATATGTCGGAACGGGCCGGATCGGACGACTATATCATATAGCTCCCATACAAATGATCGATAAATTTTTAGAAAAAATATTATAACTTAGCTGTTTTTCAACATTTTTGCACCATTTTTTAGATATGGCCATTTTATATTATCCGAAAAGTGCTTGTCAAACTGTAAAAGTTGAATCTCATTTGGACCAGTGCTTATCAAACTGTAATCTGAATTTCCGCCTAAAAGATGCCACGTTTTTAATAGAAAACCCCAAAAGTATGCTTTAATTTTTTAATAATGCTAATGAGCATCACAGATGCAAGTGAGCAAAATTTTTCATTCAATTTGGCCGCTTTCCAGACTGGGGTAACAGGCGAACAGAAACCAGCAGCAAGCAACTGAAAACTGGTATAAACTGTTATAAAAACTTTTGGGCAAATATAACAATTGGTATAAACTGTTATATTTCATTTTATGCATTTATACCTATTTGTTGCCGACAACAACAGCTTGATGGCAACAACAACCCCTTTACAACAACATCCCTGCAGCAGTCCATACAAATTTCTGAAATTTTCCATGCAAATTGCCCGTTTCCCAAATTGGGGTAACAGGCGAACAGAAACCAGCAGCAAGCAACTGAAAACTGGTATAAACTGTTATAAAAAGTCCAAGTTTCGAACCATTGATCTTGGAGTAAGCGAAGACTCAAACCAGATGTGACCATATTGTAAATTTTTTTGGCTAAAATGTTGCTTAAATGCACCTGGGCACACTGAATCTGACTTTGCATCAGTGATGCTCATCTATCTATTTTGTCCCAATAAAGAAATATAGCTAGATGGGCATCACTGCTATTACGCCTGATATATTGCCTCCCAAAATTGCAAAATAGCTACATGAGCATCACTGATGCAAAGTCTGATTTTATAGCCTCCCAATATTGCAATATAGCCAGATGAGCATCACTGCCATTAAGCCCGATTTTATAGCCTCCCAATATTGCAATATAGCTAGATGAGCATCACTGATGCAGATGAGCATCACTGATGGAAGTGAGCATCATTGATGGAAGTGAGCATCACTGATGGAAGTGAGCATCACTGATGGAAGTGAGCATCACTGATGGAAGTGAGCATCACTGATGGAAGTGAGCATCACTGATGGAGATGAGCATCACTGATGCAAGTGAGCAAATTTTTTCATTCGATTTGGCCGCTTTCCAAACTGGGGAACAGGCGAACAGAAACCAGCAGCAAGCAACTGAAAACTGGTATAAACTGTTATAAAAACTTTTGGGCAAAAATAATAATTGGTATAAACTGTTATATTTCATTGTATGCATTTATACCTATTTGTTGCCGACAACAACAGATGGATGGCAACAACAACCTTTTTACAACAACATCCCTACAGCAGCCAATCCAAATTTCCGAACATTTCCATGCAAATTGCCCGTTTCCCAAATTGGGGTAACAGGCGAACAGAAATCAGCAGCAAGCAACTGAAAACTGGTATAAACTGTTATAAAAAGTCCAAGTTTCAAACCATTTCGGAGCCGGCGGAAGTAAGCGGAGACTCAAACCTTTTGAATCCAAATTTAGGTGTTATTTTACAACTGCACCTGGGCACACTGAAACTGATCGTCGTTAAATTCAAATTTGACAGTTAAATTCAAATTCAAATTTGGCAGTTAAAATATTTAAAAAAAATGTTTAAATTCTAAACAAATTTTAAAAATCTAAAAAAAAAGTTAAAATATTAGAAAAAAATTTTAAATCTAATTTGAGACATGAGCTTCTGGTATTTTATCAGAATTTTGGTATACATTTTATGAAAATCGGACGACTATATCTTATAGCTGCCATAGGAACGATAGGGAAAGTAATAGACAAAATTATAACTTCGTTGTTTTTCAATGTATTTTCATTTACTTTGAGACATGAGCTTATTTCAGAATTTTGGTAACAATATTATGAAAATCGGACAACTATATCATATAGCTGCCATAGAAGCGATCCGTAGATGTAGAGAAAATGTAAAGCTGGGAATGTATAACTGTAACTGTCAAACTGTAAACATAATAAGTATAGGTAAAATGTTATGAAACTCTGTTTAGTGTCTGTTTTCGGCATTATAATTTATGATATAAATATGAAAACCAATCTGCAAGGGTATACAAACTTCGGCTTGCCGAAGTTAGCTTCCTTTCTTGTTAATTTTAAAAAAATCAAGAAGTTTTTTAATATAAAAAATCCGATTTTATAATACAAAATAATATTTTTCTAAGTCAAGGAATCATTTCCGACCCCATAAACCATATATATTCTTGATCAGCATTAACATGCGAATCTTTCTAGACATGTCCGGAAGAAATTGATTTTTTGGCCATTTTTGCAAAATTTTATAAGGGGTTACATCATTAAAATTTTTGATTTTGATAAAAAATTGAATTTTCAAAATTTTTAAATGAAGTATGCAGATTTATTAACTGTAGAAAATCTTGCACAGAACAGTTTTCCGATTTAAAATTAATGCTCTTTTAGTCGAGTTATGATATTTTTAATTTTAAGAAAATCAAGAAGTTTTTTAATATAAAAAATCTGATTTTATAATACAAAATAATATTTTTCTAAGTCAAGGAATCATTTCCGACCCCATAAACCATATATATTCTTGATCAGCATTAACATGCGAATCTTTCTAGACATGTCCGGAAGAAATTGATTTTTTGGCCATTTTTGCGAAATTTGATAAGGGGTAACAACATTAAAATTAGCAAAAATGGCCAAAAAGTTTTATTTCTTAAAATTTTAAATTTGGTATGCAGTTTTTTTTAAATTAATAAAAACTAACACAAAACTGCTTTCCGAATCGAAATGAATGAATTTTTGGCTTAGTTATGATATATTTTAATTGTTACCTGCAAGGGTATACAAACTTTGGCTGGCCAAAGTTAGCTTTCTTTCTTGTTTCTTTTGTTGCAAGTTAATCCATTTCCTGTTTTACGTTACTTAAAAACTCGATGCAAAAAATCCAAGCTCACTTAATCCCCAGGTCAAATTGCAGACATAACATATTTTCTTTCATTCCATAGACGTTTATTTGAGCTTACAGCACGTAAAGTGAAAGTAATGTGAGGCGCGAAACGAAAATAAATAAGTAGAATGGGAATGGTAGAGTGGCAGGGGGTTGGAGATTAGGTGGCTTTCAGGAAAGCCTCATGCTTGTACACTTCGATCACGCTCTCGATGATCTCCCACTGGTGCTCGCGGGAAAAGTCCTTGACCAGTGGCTTGTACCACATGGCCGACTCATCGGACTCGTCCGTGAGGGGCACCTGAACACCGTATGTCTGCAGGGCCAGCGATAGACAGCCGATGGCCACATGGGTGGGCTTGTACTTGAGGATGTTGGCGCTGTGGTGGAAGTCTTGCAGGTAGGAGGCTGCAGCCTTGGCAATGGGCACCGAGTTCCACACCTCGGCGCCCACCCAGTCTTGTAGGGTCTTCATGTAGTAGAGTAAGTACTGCAAAAGATCGATTTTTAGGTGAGTTTCTAGGAACTGCCAGCTAAAGTATTCACCTTGTGTGCCAGGTCGATGTTGAGATCGAAGCCCAGGGTGCGTGTGATGAGCAGCTCCGCCTGCACAATGGCATCGCGCATGGACCAGTACTCGTCGTTGAGATCCAGCGGATCGTTGCCCCTGTTGAGGGTGCAATATGCCACGTTGATCACATCGCGAATCTTCACACTGTCGTCGTCTTTGATCTTGCCAGCCAGGTACAGTGAGGACGCGGCAATGAGCTGTTTCATTTGGGGGTTATGTCTGTGAGATGCGTTACACTTGTAAGGGAACCCAAATACGCACGAACTCATCGTAGTCGCTGGACTTGACCTCCCGGAAGAAGCGGTGGTACACAATGGCCGCACAGGCAGCCGTCAGGGGCTTCATCTTCAGCTTGGCGGCGCACTCGAAAATGTACAGGGGCACCAGTCCGGGTTTGTTCAGCTTCCTGGCGGAGGTTCAAGCAGGTTAAATGGAATCCAACACCAGCCATCATCGTGGCCACTCACCTATAGTCGATGGGCTTCAAGCCCTTGTTCGAATCCACGTGCTGCTGCAACGACATGACATCCAAAACGTTCTTCATTCTCGCAGGCAACTGCCGAGTCGGGCGGATTTATTTATTGAAACTGGGAGATGGGATAGCAGGCAGCACGGATTTTGATTGCGAGTTCGTTGGCCCACGCAGCAGGCTGGATAAAGCGATACTGCAGGTCAGCTGGGAGCTGCGACGGAGGAGACTCACCGAAAAATCGAGAGAAACCGGTTCGGACTGCAAGACGAGGTGCAATCGGAACGGGAAAACTAACGGGGCGACCGGCGAGGCGACTACAGCTGTTTCGATTTCACTTAAAATGGTGGTTGTTCAAAATTATCCATTTTCCCCAGTTCAAAAATAGTTGACAAACCGGCTCAACAGCTGTTTTGCTTAGGCAGTGTTGGACAACAAGAAAATGTATTTTATAAACAATTATTTTATTTATTTATTTATTTTATAAGTAAATATTTATTTTAATTTAATTAAAAATACCAAATTAATTAACAGAAATCACCCTTGAACGATGTCCCATCTCTAACAGTGTTGGCAACGCCGGACAGTGTTGGTCAACGTCGGATGGCACAACAACAATGCTGTCCAATAAACAAAACATATTTTTTATACAGAAACAGAACCATTCCCAGAGCTAAAAGACAACCATGCGAAAGACATGGGTGAAGCGAGAAAACATTTACTACAAGCCCTTCTACAAGCAGAAGTCCAAGGTGTTCCTGCTGCTCATCTTCCTGGTCGGAATATCCTTCATCGCCTATCAGGTGAGCCCGGACGAAGGGATACTATATGGGTTTAAAGTGCGGACGCTAATGAGTGAAATAAACAATAATTAGGCCTTCTCGCTGAATCAGCTGCCGGGAGTGCCTACACCTTGGAACCTGCAACAGATCAAGCGGAAGCACCAGCAGATGAGGCAGTCGCTGGGCAGCAAGCAGCGCGACGTCGACGACTTTGATGGGGGTGGAGGCGGAGCCATGGCTCCAGCTGCTCCCGCGGGTGCTGGCACAGCAGCTGGAGCCGGGAACGAGGATCCCATCAAGATCATTCGGTAAGACGTGGAGACTGGCTACCACAATGAACATTTTACTCACTTGGCTTGCTTCGTTTCCAGGGGCACCCGCCTCTTTGACTACGATGCCTACAAGCCCAACTTCAAGGGCAAATTCCGGTGTTTGGATGGCACGAAGGAGATCCCCTTCGATCATCTCAACGACAACTACTGCGATTGTGAGGGCGACGGCAGCGATGAGCCCAGCACGAACGCCTGCTCCGTGGGTCGGTTCTACTGCCGCTACCAGAAGCGTCACATTACGGGTCGGGGCCTGGATGTTTACGTGGCCAGCAGCCGGATAAATGACCACGTGTGCGACTGCTGCGACGGCAGCGACGAGTGGACGACGGCGGTCAAGTGCTCCAACAACTGTGCGTAGTCCGGCGCCATCTAACCTCTTCCACATCCACCTGCCCCACCTCGTGTGCGCACCCAGGACACCACCAATCTCAAGGATGAAGCTGTCGGGCACATCACAAGCGATATTTTTTGTACGAGTACAATAGAATTGTAATTTATTTTTAAAATAAGTAGATGGATTAAAAAGAAATAAGTCCAATGAATACCATTGAGTGTTGGTACTTACTCTCAATGAATTAGCTAAGTAGGTTTTGGGTTTCTGCAATTGATTTTTGTATTAATGGTGGAGTATCAAAGAAATCGTCGATTTGATAAGAATTTATGTACATATGTATAAGGGACATGGACTTTGTCTCGTGTTTTTGAATTCAATAAAAATTTGTTTAGATAGCAGAAGTGGCATCACAAATCAGAATGTGGCAAGCAAGAGATTCAGATTCATGGAAAATTTGTTCTTTTAGCACATTAATTAGACTCTAATTCGTGGTCTAATTAATGTGCTAAAAGAAAAATTCGACATGAAATGTCCGGTGTGTAAATTTTTGTGGCGAAGCAGCTATAATTAGCTTGTTAAATTAAAAACCATATAATTAGACAACATTTAGACAATTTTGTGTTCAATTTTGTTCTAAAAGATTAAGATATGGATTCTTTTAGATAATATCAAAAATGATTTAAACCCATAGCAATATCCATGGCTGTCCTGTAGTTGTAAAAACCGAAAAAAAGTGTAAATTTTAAATTTTTTTTATCCATATATTATGATTTTTATTTACCAGACTCACAAATATCAGTAGAATTTACATTGGGAACTCTCTATTTAGTAGATTTCATTTGCTTGACTTTCTTCTTAGAACTCTCTTCCGTTTCGTTTCAAATTCGCAGCGTTTTTTCTTTATCATTTATAATGCTTTAATTTACATCTACAAAACACATTTAATTGTATGATTCTCTGTATTTTTCTTTTATTAATTAGGTTTCCTGCCTAAATTGTGTGTGTGCGTGCGCTCTTTTAAGCAGCACAACTTACATTGACAAAACTCTCGTAAAGCAATTTTGAACTGCAAATTCGACAAAGGTACGAAATTTTTGTGTAATTTTTTAATCCTTTCTCTATGCACTATATAAGTTTAATTGGATTCGTGTTTGATCGGTTTGTCGGTTGGTTGGAAAAGCGGAAGCGGTAATGATGATTTCCATATCGATTAAATAGTGTATAAGCAAAGGACCCTACAATACCAAGATTGTGCTTGTAAGGGCAGTTATGCATCTTGTTATTATAAGGCCTTTGGTATAAGGAACGCGCGCCATTACAATTACTTATCGCATATGGATCGTACTTGGCAAAAGTTCACTTTATTCCCACATTGAGTACTTCTCCCAGCACAATTAGAAAAAAACCTACGCGTACTACGTATGTTATGTCTCCTGGACGAGAAGCTTCTCTATCGGCTTCTCGCAAATAATTTGTTACTTCGGCCCCAGTTTGCGCAATCGAATCTGGGGATCGTCGTCCTAAGTAAAGTACATTTTGTCGTGGGATCCTTGCCAGTTTGCAACTTAAATTAAAGCTCACTTAATGCTAGGTAATACTTAATCAAAGGGGGTTTTTTGTGTGTGTGTGTGGGGTTCTGGGGGTGTTCTAAGATTGCTGCGTCGACGTACATACATATAAATTCCTTGGGGGGGTACTTAAAACGATAATTGCTTGAGTCAATGAAGGATGCTTGCCTTGCGAAGTGTTCTTGGTTCGTGTGCGCAAATCACAAATCGTTTTTCGTTTACAAATAAATTAGCTTGGAGTGTTTGTATACATAAAAGAGATGATTTTAAAATCAGCATATAAATATATATATACTTGTAGACATATGTACCTATATTATTGCACTGATGAGATTTTTGCTTCACTTTAGGGGCCAATAATTACGAACATGAGGTGATGTAAAATAGTAGAAAATAAAAAAAAAAATGGAAATAAATAAATACATATACACAAAATATAGACACACAAAACGACACTTTGGAATTGACTGGGGAAAGGTAGGTGCTGGCTAATGGTGGTTCCAAGAAACTGTCTCTCGTACAAGTACACATTAGATAGAGTTAGGTTACAGATCTAACGGCAAAGCGTATAATACAATTTCTGCAGTTTGCGTTTCGAGCGACACTGATGGTGCGAGTGGTGATGCGAATGGTGATGCGAATGGTGGTGCGAGTGGTGGTGGTGGTGATGCCTGTGGGAGTGCTGGTGATGCTGATGATGGCGTGACTGCGGTGGCTGAGGCAGCTGCTCCTGCTGTTGTTGCATATGGCTGTGATGATGATTATTTACAATGCTCCCGGCGGCGGCGGATGAGGAGGCGCTGCTCAGGGCCACCGCCGACGAGATCAGGGCCGCGGCCAGGCGCGATGAGGAGGCCAGTGCCAGCTCCGGTGCGGCGGCCAGCAGCTGCTGGTGATGCTGTCGCAGCTGGGCCACCTGTTGGCGCTTCAGGGCGGCAGTTCCCTTGCGCATTGCATGCAAACGACGCCTGTGGTGGTGGTGGTGCGGATGCAGTTGCAGCTGTCACTTTGCCTCCTCGCCGCTTTCCAGTAGACTGTTGTTGCTCCCGCCGTTGTTGGTGGCCACCGCCGACTGATCGCTAATCCCCACTCCCTGCTGCTGCTGCTGTTGCTGGAGCTGTTGCTGCTGCTGGTTGAGGGCATGGACGTGCTGACAAAAGGCCTGCAGCACCTCAAAGTGGGTCATAAGGTTGGCCGGTTGGTTGTCATAGTGCAGGTGCCGGGTAATCGGCGCATTCAGCCTCCTTAGCATCTCAGTGAACAGCTTCTCCTCCTTGCGGATCCAGGGCCGGCGGTCGTCCTGCACCTGGTAGGGCGTCAGGTGGACGTGGATGTTCATGCCTGCTTAAAAATTCCCATTCGTTAGTCGAGGAGGTCTCAAAGAACAGGACTCTCTCTCCACTTACCCATGCGCGTTAGCGTCTCCAGCAAGCTACGCGATGTGATCCATGTGTTCTTCTGGCCTCCATGACCGCCATCCAGCCAGTACATGTCCGAAATGCGTGAGAGCAAGCGGCACATGCTGCTGTCGTCGGGCGTGAGGGTTTTCAAGTAATGGAACTCGTAGATGAACTGCAAGAGAGGTGGAAAACGAGAGATTAACTAATGGTCACTAAGCTAATGATTCCCACAATCCCTTCAGGACTGTAGCGCAGGCACAACCAGTTAACGAACCAAACGCGACTCACTTGATTGAGCACGACGCAACCCTTGCTGAAGCCAATCAGCACCAGCTTGGACTTGTCCAGGTTGAGGTTCTCCCGCCACCAAAGGGGATTGCTGTCGCTGGGGGTTGCCGCCGTCGTTGCTGTTGCCGCCGCTGATGTAGCACTTGCATTTGCTGCCGGAACCTGCCTCGTGGCACAGTCATTGTTGTAGTGCTCCACATTGTTGGTGGCAGAAGTCAACTTAATGGCCGCCGCCTGTTGCGTTTGCTGCTGGATCTGATTGTTCGCCTGCTCCTCCTGATGGTTGTTCGCACTGGCCTCGTTGCTGCTGCCAATGTTGCCATTATTTCCAGTCACATTATTGACCGTCTCCGCCGCCTCGCTGCCCACAATGGGAAATATAACAGCACCGTCCGCATCCACGGTAACGTTCTCCTGCACCTGAAGTATGTCTATGTCCATATCCTGGCTGCTGTCGTTGGAGGAGGGCGCCGACTGCGAGTTGGACTCCGAGGTGACGGTGGCATTGGATAGCGTTAGAGCAGCGGCCGCAGCAGCAGCTGCCACTGCCGCCGCTGCAGCCGCCGCCTGGGCGGCCTGATCAAGGATCTCGTTCTCGGGTATGGAGATCAAGCGCTGCGATAAGTTCTGCAATAATCTGTAGACGAGATGGGGAATTATAAGTATCACAGGGATGCCTTCAAGAAGGATTCTCACTCACTTTTCCAGATGTTGGAGGGCATGGTTCATGGGTGTATGATCTGGGACCCCAGCATTGTTGCCTCTCACAAAATTATCAAAGCAGCTAAATGTCTTGAACTCCATGCTGTAAAAAACGAGAATTGTATAAATGATTTAAACGTAAAAAACCTGACTTACCGCACTGGCCGGATGACGATGATGTGGGACCTGGGGAAGGCCTCGCGCAGCAGAATGGCCGAATTCTCGAGATTGTACTTCATGTAGCCCCTGCTGTCGCGATTCGTCTCCATGCTCTCAGGAAAATCCTGAACGTCGCCGCCAAAGTATATAATGGCCGTGGAGTCCTCCGGCACGTGCTGCGACTGTTGCTGTCGCACAATTGGCGGGCAGTAGACAATGTCATTGGCCCTGTTTTGGAATCCGGCCACAGAGAAGATGCGGAATGGGCCGGCCGAAGTGCTTGGCGTGCACAAACGCTCCCCGCTGCCGCCGCCAAGCATGCCCTCGAAGTTACGGATCCGCTCTTGCAGTTGCAGGAATTGATCAATGGTGAGCTGGAGGATCGTTCGAGATTACTATTGATGTCGTTGGGGATTTAGTCAGTCACACAGTTAACACACTTTTCACTCATACACAACATGTCCTTAATAAATTCGTAGTTATCCTAAATAATATACATATTCTAAGCCCAAAAACAGAGGTCTCGATAGCCAAGTTAATAAATTTTAAGTGAATTTCGGATTGTTTAACCAGAAATATAACCCTAAACATTCGTGGTCATCCTAATAGTAATCATTCTCGTAGGCCTCTCGGGGATTCCCGCAGCAACCCACGAAACGCAGCCGCGTGTCCTCCATGCATAGCTTAGCGTCCTCTCTCATCTCCCGCATCTTCATCCGGACCTCCTCGCGCATCAGGTTGCGGCACATGGCCACCAGGCCCATACCCAGCAGCATGTACACGAAATTAATGGCCAGCTTTGAGTGCTGATCAGCGGCCACGGACTGCAGCTGGGCCAGCTCATCCGGATCAGCGCCTATGTCCTCCTGCAGCTTGTGAGTGGCAGCATTCACATCGGCCGCTGTGGTCAGCGAGGCGCCCGGGACAAAGTCACCGAAACCAATCTTGCACAGCGACGTCATGCAGAAGTAGAAGCTGTTCAGGAAGCTCCACTTCTCCCAGTTGGCGAACATGACGGTGCCGGTGAGTACGTAGAAGAATATCACCCACAGACAGGCGGTTGAGGGCACAATAACCTTCTTGCGGGGCAGGTTAACGCCACCCTCGAGGGCGTCCAGGCGATCCAGGCCGGGATGCTCCTGGGTGCAGTCGTGCATGGAGCGGTAGAGGAACTTGAAGGAGCGCGCCAGCACTCGTCCCATGCTCAGAAAGTACAAAATGTACAAGGGTATCCCGAAGGTGGCATAGATCACTGTTAATCCCTTGCCCCACGGTGTTCGCGGTACCATATTCCCGTAACCGATCATGGTTATCACCGAGAGGCAGAACATCAAGGCGGCCGGAAAGCTCCAGATCTGCTCAGGACTCCTGCCCACATAGCCGTGCTTGACGACTCCGGCTATCTTGATCTGGTAGTCACGCAGAACGGCATTCGTCGCCTCCGTCCAGCGTAGGCGATCGACGATGTTGTGCTGCTCCGTGATGCTCCACAACTGTTGAGAGCAGTTCTGGCGCAGCTCAATCACATGGCCGGCGGTCTCGTCCACGAACTGCCGCTCTATGTGCATAAATGCGAAGGCGCCGCAGATGGCGTAGAACACAATGAGGGCACCCACGCCCACCTGTGTGCACATAAAGGTGACGAAGTTCCGGCAGCATCGCTTTACCCGCTTCCTCGGCTGATTGCTGGGCGTGGAGGAAACGGAGGATGCCCCTCCCACTGCTACACCTCCTCCACCTGCTGCTGGGGAGCTTTTCCTCTGAAATTTACTGGGCATTATCGTTAATCGTTCCTTCGTTATATAACAGATTCCACGGATGCTGGAGCTATCTGGAACTCTTCCCTGAAGCCACACAGGCAAACGATGCCTTTCATGTGCAATTAATTTGGCAGTTGTCGATCGTCGGTCTAATTTGGAGCACTGGGAGTGTGGAAATATCAGCACGTTGGCTAAAAATAAACCCACGCCTTTGCACGGCACATTTTCCAAAGTCCAGACGCACGATTTTCCCTCCGGCTGCACGACTGATCCACGCGGGCGCCAAAATTCAACTGAGGAAAACTATTTCGAGGGAAAACCTCCCAGAAGGCGGCGATAGACACAAAGAGAGCGATTGAGCGGGAAATCCAGAGGCAGCGGATGGAGATCCCCAACGAAAGGCGACTCATAAATAATGTGAGCAAGTGCCTGCCTGCCGCGGCTGCCCGCGGTTCTAAATGCGGTAATTTACGTCAAAATTATGAACAGAGGCAATCAAGACATCACCTTGGGACAGGTGCAATATGGACAACAGATTTGGAATGTTACAGATAAAGACTGTGTTATATGGCGTAGGAAAAGGGATGCCCCAGATAAGTTTGGGAATTGCAGAATCCCATAAGACTATCTGATTAGTTTCAGCAGTCGTTATAATGTAAATAAAGCATTCATATTTGTGTTATTTTAAATGTAGCTCAGGGGGGAGTCTTGACTTTATATAGAATTCAAATATAACAAAGAAATATTATTAAAAAGCGTCTAATTATATAGAAAAACATTTTAACATTTAGATACATTTTCGTAGAATTTAAACAAATATATCTACATTTAAAATCAATTAAAATAAGGCCAAAAGTATGTAATTATATATTTAAGCATTTTAAATTCTTATGTAAAATAATTATAATCCCATTTTAAAGTACTTTGAATATCTTTGAAGTTTTTAATGGCAGATAAAACCAACGAATGAATTGTAAAATTTAATTATATAGAACCAAAAAGTATTAAGCAAAAAGTTTCCTTAATCTACAAGATTTTAGACACAGATAAGAATCCGAAAGATACCGATTATAAATTTTCAGATAAATCTTTATAAATTTTGAAAAATCTTAAAGATATATATAACGTAAATTTTCAAAAGATGTTTATCAACCTTGAAACATCCGAAAGATATCGATTATAAATTTTCAGATAAATCTTTATCAACTTTAAGGAATCCGAAAGATACATTGCAAAAAAATGTAAAAATTGAACAAATTTTTTTTTTGTATCTTTATCCAACCAAAAAAGTTTCCCAGACTAGAGCCTTTTAAAAACTATTGCTTTACTATTGTGCTTAACATTTTGCAAAAATTTCGGCACTATGTTTCAGTGAAGAAGAGTAAGTAGCTCGCGTTACTAACATCCAGTATAGAAAATCCGAAAGGGATAGGGATTGTCTGCTCGCAGTTCATAAAAAATTATGGCACTCTGATTAACGGCTGTGTGTGTGGAGCACAGCGGGGGCAGAGGCAGACGGCGGGGGAAAAGCTCTCGGGAACTCTTTTACTTCGGCGCAGATCTACGCGGAAAGAGCATCCGGATTCGGGCAACAACAATTGTGCGGGACGCCAAACAAACTATACGTAAATATAAACAAAGAATTAAAAAACGAAAGCAGAGACCGAACACACACACAACGCAGGCGGCTACGCTGATACAGAAGAAGAGGAAGAGAGATCAAATGAATACGCAAAAACGGGGGGTGAAATGCGTAGCGAAGAGATAGATTTTTTCAACACCAGCACTCGCACACACACACACACGGCTGCACTCGGGTCGCACACTCTCGCAGACAAACACTCACACACACAGGCGCTCAAAATTTCACAAAATTTATGCAAAAATTTTCGGCGCATTGCACACTTTGCCAGGCGCTGCAACTGGCCTCCACATTTTTCCTACTTACGCTGTTTATGGTTCTTAATAGTTGCGCGTGAAAATTTTGGCGATTTTTCTGCACTTCCCGCTAATTTCGGTTTTTCTGTTTTTCTTTTATCTAGGGATGTGAAAAATATATTATCAATATATCGATATTTTTTAATACAAATGAATATTTATATCGCGATATTTTTGTGACCTGGTTATCGAATAGCGCTAGTTTTAAAAATATATTTTTGATATTTACTTATTGGTCGCTTCCCGGGCAATCTGAATTGGCAATAAGCTACCTTATTACGCCAGGTAACTCTTAAATACAGATACAGAATTTGTATTATCCAAAAACTTAAACTTACCAGGATTTCCCTATTCGACTGCACGACCAAATGGGCAGTGTGTTCCCTTGTCGACTAAATAACCGAATTATTGAAAATATCGGCGATGAATAGCGATAGTTAGCCGTTATTTTAAATTTGTATGGGAACAATTGTTTTCCCATACAAACTGCTAAAAATATCGGCCAACTATCGTAATAATTTTCAGATAATTTAGTAATTCAGTCAATCAATCGGTAAGGAATATTGAAATTTATATTTTGTATAAAAAAAGATATCATCCATAAAATTTTTTACATAGTTTTTTTTTATTTTATGCAAGAATAACTATCTATTGCGCCTATCGATAGCAAGTGGTGCAAGTACTGCAAGCAGTGAAGGTAACGGCTTGGTGAGAAGCTTAGCTTTAAAACTGCTTACGAACTGCTTGGTCAAACTACTTGTCCGAAATGCTTGGTATAACTGCTTGATTCCAACGTCTTTAAAACCGTTATTTTCAAAGTTTTGAGCAGAAATCTGTTTTTACGTAAGTTTTCGGAATTTTAAAGGGCATCCCCCTTCTTTAAAATTGTTGAACGTTTTCTGGTACCCCGTCTGCAGTTAGTAGTTTGTGCACATTTATTAACTAATTTACTACAACAATCAACAAATCGCATTCGGCATTCTAGTGGAAGCAGCAGTTGTAGAAAGCAATGGAGGTGACCGAAGCTCCTTCGGACTTTAATCTTACTACAGGTTTCCCATGCAAATGTACTTGATGACAACGTAGTCATCGATTCCGTGCTTGGAGTCCTGGCTTCCGACTCCGGACTCCTTTACGCCGCCAAAGGGTGCCTCTGCCGCGGATATGATGCCCTCGTTGACGCCAACCATGCCCACCTCGAGTCGCTTGGCCACGCGGAACACCTGCAGCAGATTATCGCTGTAGAAGTAGCCGGCCAGACCCAGAAAGGGATGATGGAGACAACCGGGCCGAAGACCTCCTCCGTGTACAAAACAATGGAAAAAAATGGAAAAAATTAAAAATAGCACCGTGATAAGATTGGAAGTTAGGAAGATTATAAACTTTAATCCAAATATGTTGTATTTTCAATATTTTTTTAATCATGCTGGCATATCTTTATTTATAATTCCATTTATGATAAGTATTAGCCAACTTTTGTTGCCAAGAAGCTCCCAGACCTGGCCAGGACTACATCAAGTTTGCTGACTATGTATAAACTCCATAAGAAGCTTAAAAAGCCTAAAATTTAATTTTCTTTTCTTATGGACCCATCCCAGCTGCGTAAATATTATATCTAACAAATGTAAGCCTCAAATTTAAAAAGGAATTTGACTATTTTTGGCGAATATATAAAAGTCTAAAGGGTATAAGATATTTCAGTTAACAAATGATTAATGAGATTTACTAATTAATGAGATTTCTTACTAAAACAATTACAATAAATACAATAATGCAATAATACAATTAAGCTATTAAAGTTTGTTATTTGTTGAGACTCAACGTTCCTGTTTTTTATACCCTTGCAGGGTATTATAATTTCAGTCAGAAGTTTGCAACGCAGTGAAGGAGACGTTTCCGACCCTATAAAGTATATATATTCTTGATCAGCATCAACAGCCGAGTCGATCTAGCCATGTCCGTCTGTCCGTCTGTCTGTCCGTCTGTCCGTTTCTACGCAAACTAGTCCCTCAGTTTTAAAGCTATCTGAATGAAATTTTGCATATAGTCTTCTATATACTCTCACTGCTATATATGTCGGAACGAGCCGGATCGGACGACTATATCATATAGCTGCCATACAAATGTTCAATAAATTTTTAGAAAAAAAATTATAACTTTGCTGTTTTTGAACATTTTTGCACCATTTTTTAGATATAGTCATTTTATATTATTTCATTTTATATTTATTTCTGAATTTTGGTAAAAATTTTATGAAAATCGGACGACTATATGATATAGCTGCCATAGGAACGATCGGGAAATTATTAGGAAAAAAATTATTGCTTCGTTGTTTTTCAACGTATTTTTATCTACTTTGGAATATAAGCTTTTTTTATTATTCTAGAATTTTGGTATAAATTTCATAAAAATCAGACAACTATATCATATAGCTGCCATAGAAGCGATCGATAGATGTAGAGAAAATGTAAAGCTGGGAATGCAAAACTGTAACTCTCAAACTGTAAACATAATAATATAGGTAAAATGTAATGAAATAATATCTGCAAGGGTATACAAACTTCGGCGTACCGAAGTTAGCTTCCTTTCTTGTTTTTTACGTGAAATCGTTGATTTTCTATCTCTATCATTCATTTTTTCCTCATATTAATATTCTAATACTAAACTCATGCAAATATTTCTCTATATTTAAAAAATTTCCCTAAAACTAAGAAAGTTTTTTTACAAATAAGGAATAAGTAATTTTGAATTTATGGTATTAAGCAGGGTTAATTTTTCTATTTTTCTTTAATTTTAGGGCGCTTTTTCCTGATTTGTCTTTGTCTAGTTCCTTTTGTTGTATAAGGACTGGTAAATTTTTCATAAAAAACATGGCTAATTTGTCCTAAAATATAAAATATATTCTCACAAGTTTGCACCTATAATTCTGTACTGGGTCTAACATTCCTGATATTTTGTAGGGCGATTTTGAATAAACATTTTTATGAGTGCCTTTAATTATTATATATTAAATTCTTCTTTATTTATTATATACTTTTTTAGTTATATTTATTATTATATTCTTAGTAAATATATTAAGTTTTAACCAGAAGTTTACAACGCAATATTTTAAAGATATTTTAGACACTAAGAAGAATATATATATCCATTTCTAAACAAACTAGGCTCTTTCCCAAAAGTCATATTTCTCTGGCAGAACCGACTTAATACATAGCATAAAAACCTGCTGCCATCGTAACTATTGGGAAATTAAAATAAAAAAAAATAATTCAGATATTTTTCGATATATTTTTATCTAGTTTAGATAGATTTGTATTCTTTTAGAATTTAGATTTTAAATTAATGAAAATTTGGTGACTACGTAAATCATAAATCAATCAGTTCAATTTACCATATATAACCCCCTAGGGATTTTAGCAAAAGTTCGGCGTTTTACCATGTTTTTTAACTTTTCTGTTAGGTTTCTTTTTCATACAATTGCAGCCTGCTTCTGCTTCCCGAAAAATCATTCTTCTTTGCTTTGATTTATTTTTTAAACTCAAAAATCAACGATTAAGCCATTACTTTGTTGTTCCTTGTCAAGCATTTTTATTGTGGCAAACAACAAAGGACGTTTGAATCGGGTTTTTTTCAGGCAATAAAACAAATTTAATTGGCAAATAAATGCAGGACTCGAACGTTTCGATCCTTCATTCATTCGTTTTACTTACCGCTACCCAACAAGTACTTACTTTGTGCCTTAAGGGTGGCCAGTTCAAAGACGATTGTTTTGCCTGAAAAGTAATATTGCTCATACGCCAGGTATAACCAGCACCCTGAAAGAGGCCACCCTCGAACCCAAACCCAAACTCCATACCGAACCTAACGATTTGAATTGTGCTTCCAAGTACAGGGAGGGACGTGGTCATGAAGGGCAGAGAGAGGGGGAGAACATGAAACGATTGGTATTGGTATATGTAATAATAATAATCATAAATTTTATTTGGTTTTATTTGCTATTATTTGCTTTGACATTTAAATGCTGCTAGTGAATTATATTTTGATTTTAATTTGAATAAATTTGAGATATACATACATACATATGTGTATATTCCGGTAGATATATATATGAATATATATATCTTTATGGAGTGATTTATTTAAACTGGTAGACGACGAAAAACTGTTAATAATATTTGCACTCCGACTGGGCTTGCATTTGCATATTGATTAATTGAGTTTTTGTGTGAGTAGAGCAAAAAAATAAGTAACAACTCGGCGTTGTTTCCTTCTGTTCGCGTTGATGGGATTCATGTCCAAGTCCTGATGCCACCGAGCAACCCTCCTCCTCCATTCCAGCCCCAGATCTCGGGCAGCTCTCGGTTGATTACAACATGGATGTACAAAAATATTTCGTTACGCTTAAGTATGTGGGATAAAAGTTTAGAAAAATCCATCGTCTCCGCTCTAGTTAGTTTGCTTGCTGCTGGGGCTTTGTTTGTTTTTCGTTTTTAGTTTTTTAGATTTTTTGTTTTATATAATTCCATATTTATTACATTTTTGGTACATAAATCTGTGTGTAGTAGTGTTTTTGCCTTAACATCTGTGGTGTTTTTGAATTTTTGCTGTAGTTTATTGGCTTCAAGTTTTGCAACTCAATCAGTGTAAAACTAAATAAAATTATGTTGTGTATATATTTTCTTTTGAAATGTATTATATACACACGCACATGCACGTAACTTAAAAACTAGGAAATCAAGTAAGTAGTTTAAAGTTAAAGTAGAAGTAATTGTAGGGGATAAACTAGAAAGTAATTTTATACATTTTGTGCTTTGGACCGAAAGATAACAATTTTGAATAATAATGCTATAACAAAAGATCTTTTCCTAAATAAATATGCAAAGGGCAAGCAACCTAAGCCGAAACTGTTGCTTCTCCTAGCATTTCTTTTTTTGTATTATTATGTTTTTTTAGTTATTCATGTAAAGTTTTGTGCCGAAAATATCACATTGATTTTTTTTTATATCTCGTTCTATTATAGATTTTAATTTTGTGCCGAAACATAGAATTTTGTCTATCACAAAATGTTTAAAATTAATTACTTTTGCCGTCTCT